CTTCGAACACGTCGCTGTAGGCGTCGAGAAGTTCGGTGATGCGTGGATCCGAAGGTGAGTCCGTCGATGAAGCGTCATGTGGCGGGAGGGCGTGGAGAAAACACACCCCCATTTCCTCGATGGAAGCTCGCATGGTTGAGGCGGATACCACGTGGCAACTGATCGAAGGACGAGGAAGAGGCACCGTGCATGGAACTAATACTCCGTTCCGATCACGAAAGTGAACGGTGCGGTTGAAGAAGTTCACCGGGTGATCCTCGCTTCGCAGCCATGACATGCCATATACACATGCGAACGCCGCCGTCCTTTTTAGGCACAAAGAGCACAGGCGCACCATAGGGTGAGGAGCTAGGTCTTATCCAACCATTTTCAACAACTCATCGAGTTGGGTTCGCAGTTCGTCTAATTCCTGGGGCGACATACGATAGATAGGCCCCTTCGGGGGCGCGCTCCCTGGAATGATATCAATGCGGTGGCGGATTGGTCTTTCCACCACACCGCTTGGGGCTTCAACCACATCAGCGAACACTTTCAGGATCCTCTCAATGTTTTGGGACCTGACTTCTTCCTTTGTTTCTCCTTCCTTTACTGGGCGCACATATGCAACAAAGACTTGATCATACAAGTTATGTTTCTTAACATGGCGAGCGTACGCTGGGGCACTCATACAACAGTGAGCTAGGCTGCTTTCCTTTCCAGATTTATGATAGAGGCGGATTTTCCTCTTACCTCCTTGCGGACTTGGAAGCCAACATTCATGTTCCCTTAACTTTAGATCCGCATGTGCAGCCTCACCCCAATCCATTCCTAGCAACACATCAAAGGGCAAGTTATCCTCCACCAACAAGGTCAGAGAGTGGAGAACGCGTTCCACCTTCCCCTCTCCCTCTAGCCGAAAGTATACCTGTGTCCCCTTGACGTATCGATCCATGATGGTTTTTGTACTATTAGCTAGCTTACTTACAATGGGCTCATCTAACTTCTTAACTTTAAGCCCAAGACGCAGTTTCTGCAACCCTCTTTTACTAATATAACTGCGCGTAGACCCGCTGTCTATCATACCCCCTACTCTTATTCGATTTATCTCTAGATCTGCAATTATTAGCTGTCCTTTCTTTTTACGCATTTCAGTCCAGGCTTGGCGACGAGCGGCCAACTCCTCACCCACGCCCGCGAGGGATCCATCTAGAGAGATGCATACGTTTGCCACCTCTGGACAGTGCACTAGATGGGGACTTCCTTCCTCTTCAGTTTCTGCCATTGGGGCCTTCGAATGGGAGGATTCTGATTTTTCAACATTCGAAGCCCCGGTAGAGGCAACTGGCACCTCTACTGGCTGTTCCCTTTTGCCCCCCTATAGTCAGGGCAATAGGGGACAATGTGGTCGGGGTCCCTACATTTGAGGCATTGGTCAACCTTCTTTCTTTCGGCCCAAACTTTTTCTGTGATGCCCAACTCCTTCCAAGGCTCTCCTTCAGGTACGCCTGGATGTGGTGGGTATGGCTTATCCCACTTGTTGTACCATGAGCCTCTTCCTCTACCCCAGGTGGAGTAAGAACCACGACCACCGTATGAGGGACCATTTCCCCTTCCTCCCATGTAGTGGCTTCCTTCACCACCACCCCTCTGGGTGCCGAATCCTCGTCCACCACGGCCGCGACCTCTTCCTCGGCCACGTCCTCTTCCTTGACGCCCTCCCCCGCGGGCTGCAACAGCCGCGTAACTCCCCTCCTGAGCTACCGGTCTGTTGGGTTCATTGAGACCATAGTGTACCTGATCCCAGGAGACGTCTCGGCGCCGCCTTCTTCAAAGGTTAGAAGGAGACTGTCTTTCCCAGGTATAGACCCTAAGATGGTGCGGTTTTGCCATCTCTTACCCGCTTGCAGATCCTTCCAGTAATGGGAATAATTTGCTTCAGCGAGGAAGCCGGCATGATCTATGGCGATCTTGCCGAACTTCTCATATGTCATCCCCTCTTCCTTGGTACGGGGATAGAGTTGTGCTCTTAGAGGATCCGGGAGTGCTCGTGCAAAACTGTTTAAGATTTGGGCTGGCGTTAATCCATGATCAGGGCATTGCAATAGTTCATCCATAGTTGCCTTTAATGCAGACATACTCTTCCATTTCCTATCGGGGAGGGTGAGGATCAACATTTTTGTGCGCCTTGCCACGTTCTTGTCCTCAAATCTCTCTCTTATTGCTTTAAGGAAATCCTCAATACGGGTCTGTTGTGAATACTCTACCATAGAGCTGCATCCCGCCTCTTTTTGCAGCGAGATGGCGAAGCTCATGGCGTCGCCTCCCATGCACGAGGTTGCCATCAATACCCTGTCCCAGTATGGAATTCGCTGTCCATACACATAAGTTTCAATTGCCGCCGCCCAGTGCAACACACTCTCTTCTTTCTTTCCATTGTAGGTCCATG